CTTCCTGCTGCTGGAGGCTAATGGATTGGATCCCTTGGAGCCAAGGGTGATGAAAAGTTTATTGGGGTGAAGTTCAGCTGAGCCTATTCCTTCCAAACTCTGGTCCTGATTCTCTGTAAGGCAGTGCTATGGGCGGAACCCTGCTGACACTGCTGTGGGCAGGACCCTGTTGTGTGGAGCTGAAAAAGTGGTGCTTGTGGTGGGACCCTCTGAAGGAGAAGCTGTGGGCGGACCCTCCGGGGACGGGGCTGTGGGTGATGCTTTCTGTGGGCAGGACCCTCAAGGGGCAGGGCTGTGGGCGGGGCCCTCTGAGGGGCGGGGCTGTGGGTGATGCCCTCTGAGGGGCGGGGCTGTGGGCGATGCTCTCCGAGGGTGGGGCTGTGGGCAGGCCCTCTGAGGACGGGGCTGTGGGCGGGCCCTCTGAGGGCGGGGCTGTGGGTGATGCCCTCTGAGAGGCAGGGCTATGGATGATACACCCTGAGGGGCAGGGCTGTGGGTGATGCCCTGAGGGGCGTGGCTGTGGGCAGGGCCTCCGGGGGCGGGGCTGTGGGTGATGCTTTCCGTGGGCCGGGCCCTCCCAGGAGCGGGGCTGTGGGTGATGCCCTCTGAGGGGCGGGGCTATGGATGATACCCTCTAAGGGGCAGGGCTGTGGGTGATGCCTTGAGGGGCGTGGCTGTGGGCGGGGCCTCCGGGGGCGGGCTATGGTTGGTCCCTGCTTGTTAGTGCTCACTCCCCGGGGGAGGTGTGTCCATACCACCCTCTGTAGAGCTTTGGAAGCCTTAAGTCTGCAACTTCCGAAATCCAGTGAGTGTGAGGACAGTGGTCAGAGGGGCCACTGTGGAGAACAGGGCACAGAAGGGAGGTGGAGGCGGCCCGTGCGGGCAGGAGGGAGTGAGACCTCGGTGGAGGGGAGTGGGTGCTGGGATAAGGGGACTGGTATTGGATGCCGTTCGCCTGAAACTCAATCACAAATAACTTGGTGGCTTTGTAACTCACGGTGACTTAATATTTTTATTTCTTTATTGAGAGACACAACAGGTTCCGTGCGCGAGCCTGGTGGCCAAGCAGGCATCAGGTGGGTGGGTGTGGGCAGCAGCGGGGCCGGACTGCCAGGCGGCCCTGGAGGGTGGCTCTCCTGACCGCGGCTGCCCGCTGCCCGGTGACCCAGACCCGGCCTCCTCACCTCGTGCTCCCTTGGGCCCCTCGCCCCAGGTTGGTGTTCCCGCCCAATGTGTATCTCAGGTTCCTCCCCTCCAGCCACTGCTTCCGCCTGCCCTGGCCCAGAGGGGACCCCCCTCCCCCGTGTGCTTCTCGGAGCTGAGTCGGGGGCGGGGGAGTGGACGCCTCTCTCTCCCAAGGCCAGGGGGACACAAGCTTCTGCTGGGATTCCTTCACGGAGGACGCAAGACTCAGCTCCCCCACTCCTAGCAGTTCAGGGAGAAAATCTTGAGTCATTCTTAAAGAAGAGTCCAGGTCGATCACTGTCATACTTATTGTTACTATATTTTTGTGCACACAAAACTGAAATCATATTAAATAACCAGTTTTATACATAGTTTTTCCAAGAAATGTTACATGGTCTTTTCCTGCTATTAAAACTTCTTTTTACCACCACCAGTTATTCTTATGGATGAATTCAACGAGTGTGGTTTGGATATTAAAGCACCTTCTGGGGGCTAGAGCAATAGCACAGCGGGTAGGGCTTTTGCCTTGCACACAGCCAATGTGGCCGACCCAGGTTCGATTCCCAGCATCCCATATGGTTCCCCGAGCACCGCCAGGAGTAATTCCTGAGTGCATGAGCCAGGAGTAACCCCTGAACATCACCGGGTGTTACCCAAAAAGCAAAATAAATAAATAAATAAAGCACCTTCTGATTTTCACTGGTCCAGTGTAACGTTGCTATAAACTGAGTCATTCCTAGAATCTGTGTTGGATCCCTGGGTTAGAATACGACTATGAGGGTCTGAACTAGGTCCCTGGAGGAGAGGATATGAGTCAGAGGTTCGATGGTGGGTCCCAGGGGGAGAGGATATGAGTTGGAGGGTCGGTGCTGGGTCCCTAGTTGGAGGGGGCGGGGTTGATATGAGTCAGAGGGTCAGTGCTGGGTCTCTGGGAGGGATATGAATAGGAGGTTCGGTGCTGGGTCCCTGGGGGAGAGGATGTGAGTCGGAGGGTCTGTGCTGGGTCCCTGTGGAGTGGGGGGGGGGGGCATGAATCTCTGGGCTTGTGCTCCGTCTCATCGTGTCCCATCCCAGCTCTGTTCTGGCCCCAGAGCTAATAGGTACCTGTCTCGCCACGCTGTTGCTGATCCCACACTGGACAGGCTTATTGTTTTCAGTGTAATAGGAGGTGGTTTAGAGAATGAGGCTTTAATTCTTAAAAAAGTATCAGTGTCTAGGGTACGTGGCTTCAGTTGTCGGGCGCATGCAGGTCATCATCACCTCTCCATGACGTGTTTGCCAGCTGTGCCACCCACAAAAATAAAAAGTTTCATTTTTAACTAATATAATGTGGGATACTTAAACTAGGACAGTTCTTTCAATTAAGTTATTTTTTTCCAAGACCTTAATGTTATAATTAGCTTTGAAAATGCAGGTGTTATAAATATTGTCTAAAGTTGGCTTTTTTATAGCTATTTTAAACTTTCCCCAGGCATTCTTTGCAGCCCCTCATCTGAATGTACTGACTGTCATGGATTTTTTCTCCTTAACTTTCTTCTTTTAATTTATTTTTTATTTTACTAAAGCATTATGATTTACAAAGTTACCCCTACCTGGGTGTTAGACATAAAATAATGCAGCTTTGACCCACCACCAGTGTGAACTTCCCTTCCCCACTGTTCCCAGGTTCCCTCCCATATTCCCAATACACACCCTCAGACTGCCTTCTTGACAGACACCTTTCTAAGATTGTTCAAGTTTGGGTCTCTTGATTTCTGTATTGTTAATTCTGTGGTTTGAATGTTTGGCTTTATCATTCCTTAATACGACCTTTGTACCTTAATCCCCTGAACTGTATCCCATTGTGTGTGTTCAAAGGGCGAATAATAAGCTGCATTTGGTGGTCTCAGAGCTTCCCCCACCTTGGGGTGGCAGGTAGCCCTGGGTGGAAGAAGGAGGAAACGAGGGCCAGGCTGGCTGGTCTCAGTTGCAGTCCATTCCCATCTCAACTCCATTCACTCCTGACTTTCAGTTCCCGAATCTCTTTTCCTTCTTCCTCTCCAGATGCTGCTCCTCCATTCTTCTCCTGGATTATCCCTGATTTCCCCACTCTTCCAGCCTTAGTTATTTCTCCAATCATGAAGGGGAGCAATTACATACATCATACAATCAAGGAAGTAAGGTTCCTCCCTCAGGGAAAGCTTCTTCCAGGACAAGCTCTCATATCAAAAGAAGACCTGCCTAAGGGCGAAATCCAGGGGTGTGTTTCTCCTTTCCTTAGTCCAGCAACCATTTAAATTCTTAATTCTACTTCTTAATAATATTAGTCATTTTGTATGGACACAGTAAAAGATACATTAAGCTTGTAGGGTGGCTCTCCTGGGGACATCTCGCTATAGATCTCAGACTACAGTGCTCAGGCCAGATTAATCTTTCCTAACCCTAGCAGGGTCTTAATCCAATTGTTACTGTTTGGATCATGACAGAATTTGCCCATGACCATGCTCTTAACTTATAGGTAAGTATTATGGTGCTTTGGCCTGGCCCATTTCGATGCCAGGTTTGCTCACAGCTTGCCCTGGGTCCATCCAGTCTCTCATCGGGAGCCTGCTTTTGGGGTGCTAGGAACTAAAGGCAACTGAGGCTTAAATCAAGAAAACAGATACCCAGGAGTGAGTATTATTCAGAGTCAGTTAATTCCCAAGTTACAAAAGCATAGCATTAACTGTCTTTCTGTATCCATACAAAAAGGAAATTGCTCTAAAGTAACATTATGCAAGGGACATAAGGAGAAGAGAAAAGCCATATTTCACTTTACAAGTCACAGGTACTGCTTAGGGGGAAATGGTGATTAACTGGTTGGGGAAGAGAGAACATTGAAGCAGTTACAGATAAACACAGGAGTGGGAGTGGCTCAGGATGGCACTGTGCACAGTGATTGAATGAAGATGGCACTGTGGTGGGTGTAACCCAATAAACCTAAGCTCCCTGTGGCAAGGGAGAATGGACGTAACAGTGTTATCCTACACATTGTCTCTCATCTATCTCTTTCCCCACTCCCCTCCACTCTTTCTTTTCCTTCTCCCTCTACTCGGAGGACAAGGTTGATCTGGGAATCCCCCGTTTAAAACATTGCGTTCCCTCATCCAGTAATTCTAAATACCACTTATTTAGAATAAGTGTTTATCGTTCTTCTTCTGATTTATTTCACTTTACATGATGTCTTCCAGTTCCATTCATGTTGTCATGAATTGCATGATTTCATCATTCCTTACAGCTGTGTAGTATTCCATTGTGTGTATAAACCACACCTTCATGATCCACTTATCTGTTGGACATCTACATTGATTCCAAATCACTATTGTACTGAGTGCTGCCATGAATAATGGTGTGCATCCCTTCTTTTGAATAAAGGAATCCTGTACACAGAGCCAGGAGTAGCTCCAAGGTTCTAGGGGACCAGACCTGACTTTTCTGCATACAGAATGCGCCCTTAGCCCACTGGTCTATCTCAGGCCCAAAGATCATGTTCTTAACATGACTAAAGTACTGTTCATGCAGTATATGTTTTTGTTTCACTGTTTACATTTGCTTAAATTGACCCATTTTTTGTGAAATAATTTTAATGCTCACTTAGCTAAAACTTCTCGGTTACCCTGTTAAGAAATGAACCAAGATTCTGCACATTGTATAGGCACTTAGACTTACTCATCCTTCAGCAGGGTCAAGGATTGAACTCAGGGCCTTGCACATACAAGGCAAGTGCTGTGAACTATAGCCCCAGCCGGCACTGGATTCACTTTAAAGAATATTTTTCCTTTTCATTTGTTTTTTAGGGGTTGTTATCACATATGCTCTCAGCATTCAGATTGAATATTCAAGAGGTTGGCCTTTTCACTCGAGGTCTTGGATATGCACCTACAGATTGCTATCCTGGTTTGCTTAAAAATGTGAGTATTTTTAATTCATTACTATTGAAGTTTTCATTGTTTAATATAGCATCAACAAAAAGGGTAAATGGAAATACTTCATCCCTCCAGAAGAGATGTTTAACTTTTCCATATTTATCTCTTCTTACCTTGGGTGCACTTATGACCATGTAAGGAAGAAATATGAGGTGAGAGATTATAAAAAAGAATAGGAAGCCAGGAGAATTTATTCTAAATCAACTATCCTCTGTCTCTTTATTATTCTCTCAAAGATTTTTGGGAGAAGAGATTCCTTCATAAGTATAAACACAACCTTTTACTACTATTAAGACAAATTTTGTATTTAAACTACTTTATTGGAATTTTATATCAAAGCAAAAAATAAATAGCATCTTTGTAAATACGATTATATATTTACATCTTAGCTATATTTTCTTTTCCTTTAAATTTTTGCCAAATACAAAATATTTTAGCTTGCAGTTATGACATTGCTGTTCTTAAGGAAGTTATAAGTGACCAGTGGTAAACTGTTAATATTTGTTATTCATTCTGATTTTGTAAACTTTATGCAGGAATATCTTTTTAAAATATAATAAACTAAGTTAAGGAAAAATATTAATTTGAGGTATAGTACTACTGAAGTCATTTTCCAGTTGATTGGGTTTTATTGTTACAAAATTAATTATCTTTTTGTTTGCATAGAAATGCAAACTAACAAGTATTTAACATAAAAATCCAGATTACTAGTACATGCAACTTGATGTTAAATAAAACTGGAAAAGGTGGACTAGTGAAATTGGGTTGGTAGGCTATCACAGCAGAAATTTCACTCACACCAAGAAAATAAAACTGATGTATTTCAGTTTGCAATGTGACTTATACCTCAGCCGATTTTGTTTTAACAGGTGGTTTTATCATTGGTGACTGAACTTAGAGAGAATCATCGTAACGGATTTAACACTCAAGGACGGTAGGTGTTAAAACATCTGTCTTCTCAAGTATCAAAGAGCATCAGTTTGGTTATAAGAGAAAGTTTGTTGTAATTCTTAGAAAATGCAGGTTCATAGTAATGATTGTAGTCCATCTGGGAGGAATTACTTTAGTGGAAATATGTGACAAAATTTTAATTTTATCATACTTACTTTTTAATCACTGTTTTCTCAGATCTTAGGATAGTAAGTCATCCAGCTTCTCTTAAGCGCACCTGAAATAGTACATACACCACATATGGTAGAAAGCACCAGAAGGAAGTGCTCAATTCTGTGTACATGCGTCGTTCCCCCAATCAGGTGTCAGTGTGCTTCTATGCACTAGTCTAGGACACAGCCTTCTGGACTCTAAAGTAGACAAATCAGTTTCAGATTAAAAGATTATTGTATTATAAAATCAGTGTGTGAAAGAATTCAGAGTTATTTCCATTGTTGGGCATTTATTTCTCAAAAAATACTGTGGCTTAGATAATGTGACTACAATAATATTTACTAGTTTGGGGGGTAGGAGTAAATTTGGTGCTGTATCCAGTGGTGCTTAATAGTGCCATTTCATCTTTGTGCTCAGGGATCATTCCTGGCCATGCTCAGAGGATCAGATGTGATTCTGGGGATTGAACCAGGTTGACCCCATGCCATAAAGCCGTGGGTTTGATGTACACAGTCACTCTTTTCTTCCTTCATCAAGGTCTGCCACTATGTTTATGTCATTTCTAGTCAGCCTCTTCCATCTCCCTACTCCAGCCCCTGCTTTGTTCTGCATTCGAAGACCACCGGTTTGTCTTTGTTTTCATTCATACTCTTCCCTTGTGTCTCTGTATACCACACATGAGTAAGATCACCCAGGATGTGTTCTCCCTCTGACTCATTTTGTTAAATAGTGTGCGCGCCAGTTCCATCCAATTTGCAGCAGAGTGCAGTACTTCCTCCTTTGTAGTGACCGAGTAGTATTCCATTATGTGTAGAACTACAACTGGATCTGCCAGCAGACACTTGAGTTTTCTCTGCTTCTGGGCTCTTGTGCATAGTTCTGATGGGAATATATGTGTGCATCTTTTTATGTTCTTGGAACAGTGGGTCATATGGAAGTTATAATCTTACTTTTTAGGAAAGTCTTCATACTGTTTTTCATAGAGGCTCAACGAGTTGCTTTTTTCGGTTTGTTTTGCTTTGGGCTAGAGTGATAGCACACTGGTAGGGCCTTTGCCTTGCGCGCAGCTTGGCCGGGCCAAGCCAGGTCCTATTCCTCTGCCCCTCTTGGAGAGCCCTGCAAGCTACTGAGAGTATCTTGCCCACATAGCAAAGCCTGGCAAGCTACCCATGACATATTCAGTATGCCAAACACGGTAACAATAAGTCTCATGATGGAGACGTTACTGGGCCCGCTCGAGCAAATTGATGAACAATGGGAGGACAGTGCTACAGTGCTTTGCTTTGGTGTCACACCCAGCAGTACTCAGGACTTAAGTTTGGCTCTGCACTCAGGGATCACCCCTGGCAGGCTTGCTGGGATGCTGGGGATTGAACCTGGGTCGACCATGTGCAAGGCAAGCACCCTACCCATTGTACTATCTCTCTAGGCCCTGAAACATTACTTTTTTTTTTATTTAATCCAGAGAGATAGCACAGCGGGTAGGGCGTTCGCCTTACAGGCGGCCAACATGGCCGACCCGAGTTCGATTCCTCCGCCCCTCTCGGAGAGCCCGGCAAGCTACCGAGAGTATTCGATATGCCAGACACAGTAACAACAAAGTCTCCAATGGAGACGTTACTGGGCCCGCTCGAGCAAATCGACGATCAACGGGAGGACCTTTACCACATCTCTGACAATACTGATTGTTTCCATTTTTTAAAAAACAATATATATGTAGTCCATTCTCAGTGCTATAAGATATCTCAGTGTTGAGTGTTGTCTTGATTTGATAATAAGTCACAATGCACACTTTATCATCTACTTTTCGGGCAGGTTTTCTGTATGTCAAATGCCCATGTGGTCAGAAAAGTACATGTAAAAATGTCCAAAGTCATTAATTATCAGAGAAATCAAAATCAAACCACTATAAAATGCAGCATTGGCTCCTACGAGGGTGGCTGTGATGTGAAAATGAATGAGATGTAAATATAAATGTTGGGCTGGAGCGAGAACTTTGTGGGCTTCAGTGCATGCTTTGCTCTTTGGAGGCCTGGGTTCACTCCCCTGGGACAGCATGGTCCTCTGCACCTCCAAGAGTCACCCTTAACCACTGAGCCAGGAGTAGCCCCTAATCCTCTCCAGGTACGACCCAAAAAAGAAAGTAACAAATATTGGAACAGTGGAGAGAACTCAGGTTTGGAGCACATTTTTTTTAAATATATATTTAAATTTAATTTTAGGGACCATGATTGAGTTCAGTTAACAGTAAAAATCGCGTATCACCGCAACACCTGCACATTGCTTTGTGAACTCACAATTAACAGTACTAAAAATCATGGTCCCTAAAATTAAATATATATTAAAAGATGGCTATTTATCATATATCATATCAAATACCAGTAACAATGATGGGTCTCATTCTCCTAAAGAGCCTTGAATATAATCTCAGGGTTGGGATGAAAGAGACGTTACTGGGGCCTGCTCGAGGCAATCGACGAATAACAGGATGATGAAATGAAATGAAAATGAAAATTTATCATAGAAATAATTTTCTTTTTTTAAAAAAATTTTATTAGTGAAACACCATGAGGTACAGTTGTAGACTTACAAATTTTTATGCTTGGGTTTTGATTATACAATGATCAAATACCCATCCCTCCACCAGTGCCCATTTCCCACCATGGATCCCAGTATCCCTCCCATCCCCATCCCCCACCCCCATCCCACCCTGCCTCTGTGGCAGGGCATTCCCTTTTGTTCTCTCTCTCTCCTTTTGGGTGTTGTGGTCTGCAAAAGAGGCATTGAGTGGCAATCATGTTCGGTCCATAGTCTACTTTCAGCATGCATCTCCCATCCTGGGAGGATCCTCCAAACACCCTTTATTTGGTGGAGCACATGTTTTGCATCACACAGGAAGCCCCTGGTTCAATCCTTGGCTTAAGTGGTCCCCCACCACTCAGGAAAATAACCCAAGGATTCCTGGGTAACAAGAGCAAACACACAAAAGGCACATATACACAGAAGATAAAAAAAAACAACAAAACAAGCATTAGCGTGTGTGGGAGAGAATGTGTGGAGCTCACAGATCACATGACTATGAACTTACAAAGTTGACCCATTTACTGTCTGTTTGGCCCACAGTTTTACTCTTGAGTATTATGATAAATGAAAACACATGTACTCACAAATATTTTATGAAACTTTTAATTACTGCTTTATTTATGGTAATTTAAAAATCAGAAACAATCTAAGAGACCATTAAGGAATAGTCAAGGAAAAATTATTTGCTACCGCTGTTTAAAAGAATGGAAAGGCAGATTGTAGACTGTGAGAAAAAATTTTCAAATTAGTCATAAGACTAGACTACCTGTCACCTGCATATATAAATGGCTAATAATCACATTAGTCCTTGTTTGCGCTAGTAACAAAGTATTAATAATTGGCAAAAAGTGGAAGCAGTTCAAATATTGATAAACTTATGGCTACACAAAAATATACTGCCCACTCGGTATCTTACAATTCTTTTTAAAAAAGAGAGCTGTAGGAGAAAAGGAGAAGAATAGAAGAATAGACAGTGATTCATGCTGTGACATAGAGCTTCCAATACATGTTTCTGTGGAAGAATCCAGTTACAGCTGCTTGGGTCTGGGTAGGAGACAAGATTTCCTACAGAATGAACACAAAAGATCTTGAGGTGCTGGAAATGTCCTCAAGCTGAATTCGTGCTGGTGCTTTTCCAACTCAGTAATTTGTTAAAAACTTTACATTGTACACTTAAAATAGGTACATTTTTGTGGTCTGTATGTGTACCAGTATAGTAAAATGAATGACTCCACACAGTGTATGAAAACATATATAGTGACTTACTTGCATTTCAAATAAAGATTTTTTTTTGTGTAGCCTCAAGGTAAATGTTAAATAATGAGTCTTTTGAGTTATATAATTAAAAATCATTAAAGGAGGTATAAAAATGTTGGTAGAATGCAATAAATGTATGTATATACACCAAACTCCAAAAATATGTTGAGTTGATGATTTTTAAAAATTCAGCTGAGAAGAAACAGAAATGAAAACTCAAAGCAAAGTCTGCCAAATCCCCCTGATTATTAGCAACTGGAAAAAAATATCATTTAGAAGATATTTGCAATCTATAAAAACTAAGTATTAGTATGCAAAACAAAAAAAAATAAGACTCCTGCAAACCAGGTATAGTCAAGCACTGCATTATAGAGATGGGTAACAAGTATAAGCTGGCCATTCTTCAAAGAGGAAAACAGAACAAACTGAATATTCCCAGCATTCTCCAGGAGTGTGTGAGTAATGCCCATGTACTAGGGAGTTCTGCCCTATGCCTGTCCCCTCCCAACGACAGTGGCTTAACAACAGTGCAGATGCCACCACCCCAGCAAGCTCCTGGGAAGGGTCACAACAGCCACTCAGAAAGCCCCTCCTGCCAGCCTGTCATCCTTGCCCCAGGGAGCCTCGGACAACAGGGGAGCAGTAAGTCCATCTTACAGGGGCTGTGGAGATAGGACAAGGGATACAGTGGCAGCCTTGCGCTCAGCTGACCCAAGTTTAGTCCCTGGCACCCTGCTAGAAGTGACCCTGAGCCAGGAGTGGCACCTAAGCACCACCAAGTGTGACCCCAGGACAGAAAAAGCAAACAAGTCCAGCCCTTCCCTGGGAGGGCCGGGGAAGAGCAGGACATAGCCTGGGTTGCCAGGAACGCCTGCAGGGACAGGTGTTCTTCCAGTGGCGGCACCTGGCAGAGCCAGGCTGCTTGCTGGGCATCAGAAAACGGGCAGTGAGTGCTGTTGGCTCAGGCTGGCATGAAAGTACCCAGCTCCT